CACCTAACGGGGCTTCTCTTTTGATCTCTTGACTGCTGCTTCCACGAGCACTGATTGTGGATCCAAGCAAGACAAAACCCTTGTCAACTTCACCCTTTTCTCCCTCTATCATGATGTCTTCTATTGATCCAGTTGTGAGGAGTGTGGTCTTCTTGACATTGAGTTGTGATCCGTATGAATGCTGCCATCCTTGATCTTCATCAGCAAGTGCTTTGAGTCCTCCTCACTTTCAGCAAGCAAGGTTGTGTCATCTGCACATTGCAGGTTGTTAACAACTCTTCCTCCAAACCCGACGCCATGTTATTCATAGAATCCAGCTTTTCTCTGATGATTTGCTCAGCATACAGATTGAATAAATATGGTGAGAGGACACAGCCCTACCAAACACCTTAAAACTATGCAATCGATTCCCTTGTTCCATTTGCACAACTGTCTCATGATCCATGTACATACATGTTCTGCAAAAGCCCAGTGCGGTGTCCGGGAATGCCCACTCCCATTCCCGAACGTCGCCCACGGTTGATTACATTCCGCACAGTCAGATGCCTTGGTACTGTCAGTCAAACACAAGTAAACATCTTTCTGGTTTTAAAACAGTGAACCACGTTCAGAAGGTTAAACCCACCAGAAGCGCTTTGGAAGAAAGATCGGATGACTTGCTTCTGAAAGCCCTGGGGAACCCAGTCCTCCTTGGATTTGACTCCAGAGCAATGGACTTGTTTTTAACGAGGAACTTGATGCTCCAGCAACGCTTGCCTCTGATGCCGGCAGCCGGCATGCACACACCCTGGGACGTAGGCACTGCTATTGTTGAAAGCTAGGTGCCTCCGATATGTTCGACAGCTTGCCCAACCCTGACACAGGTAGCAAGTGGCCGGAGCAGGGTTGGAACCCAGATCTTTGCCCCCCCCCCACCCCCCCACCCCACCCCCCACCCCCACCCCCCTTACCTGTCTGCCTCTGGCTCCTCTACTTGTCTGCAACCATCTGTCTGTAGTCTGTTTTCTCCCCTTTGGCTGTGAGGCTTTGGGGGTAGTGACTGTCATTCATTGTCCTACCCCCACCCAGCACGGAGCTCAATTGCTCCTGTCAAGTTTAAAGTCACTCCGTCTGAATCCACCGGGCAGCGGGCTGACGGTGTGGTTTCAGGTTTATCCTTGTGGGGAAGTAGCACCACCTAGTGGTGGAGCCCAAGCTGACTTTAAAAAAAACACATAAAGCAACAAACTAACCAAATGTCCTGCCATCCTGTTCCCTAGAGTGTCCCACTGTAACTCTTTGCCGGGTTCAAGTTGCTGACCAGGTGGATCGCAGCCCCTAGCATTGCCCCTCCTGGTGGCTCCCTGTGTCTCAGAGAGAATTATGGCCCCAGGATTTCCAAGGGCTCCTATTTGCAGGCAGCTCTGTGACTAGGGTTGTACCTCTCTCTGCAGCCCAAGGGAAGGGCCTGGACAGCCTTCCAACCCCCCCTTCCCAGGGCAGAGCAGCCCACTCACGCAAAGGGCCCCCAGCCTGGCCAGCCCTTGACTGAAGAGGCCCGCCTCGCTCCGGGCCTCGCTGGCTTCCTGGGGACAGCTCAGTCTTGGATTCAGTGGGCCCTGTCTGTGCAGACATATGCAAACCCAATTCCTTGTTCACAGCTGGAGGCCGCCCCAGCTCAGGGAGGGTGAGAGCTTTATTGAGACCTTCACAGAGCCCAGCTGCCTCCCGCCCAATCCCTTCATAGAGCCCTCAGCCCTGAACTCCACTCCAGAGGAGACATGGCTGTAATCTCACCCAGAACAGGTCCCTGTACCTCACCTAGGGTATGTCCCCAGAGTCCCCACGTCCCTCCTGGCTCCACAGCCTGCTGTACTGCTGGTTCTCTTGGAGCCCAGCCGCCTCCGGCACCTCACAGGTCCTTTGTCCACACTGAGCAGTAGCTGCACAAAGGATGCTGGTGTGGTCAGTGGCCATCCTGGGGGTGCCAGGTGTCAGTCTTTGTGAGTCTCGCGGCTGACAGTCTCCCCGCAGCACCAGCAGCCTCGAAGGATCCCCGGGAGAAGCTGGAGGAAATGCCCCCCAAGGGCTGCAGCCACTCCAGACAGGCCCCAGTTGTCCACAAATTGGAATGAATCACTGTTTCCTGAAGTCGTGGTGGCCCGTTTACAGTGAACCCTCGTTTATCGCGGTTAATCGGTTCTAGACCCTACCGTGATAAATGAAATTCCGCGAAGTAGGATTCCTTGTCACGATGCGCTTTGCTTCCTTGTTGAAAGTGAAAGTAGCCGTAGCACGGATGTTTTTTTCCTCTTTACGGAGGGAGCGAACGGAAGACTCATTCAAGTCGAAATGGCGTGCAACCTCCACGATTTTCTTGCCATCTTTGATCATATCCAAAAGTTTTACCTTTTCCTGATGGTGAGCATCTTCCTCTGGCGCTTATTTTTATTGTCAGAAGGCTTAGAAGAAGCAGCTCGTTTAGGAGCCATCATAGGGCTTAGATAAAATTTCTTAAAAATCGCAAACAATTACAGTACACTGTACAAAAGCAAAAATGCATCTGATACGTAGCTCCGATACGTAGCGATGCAGACAGAAGCGTGTACAGTATGAGCCAATCAGTGGCAGTAATGACAGAGCATGCGCTGTTACGCAAAAACTGCGATAGAGTGAAGCTGCGGAAGTCGAAGCGCGAAGTGGCGAGGGTTCACTGTATAGCACAGCAAGCTCTGAGCCTCTCCACCCCTAGGCCTGGGAGCTGATGTTCTTTTATGTCTTTTTTGAGAGGCAGATCTGTTCCCAGTAGCTCAGGGGCAGGCAGCATAACGTGGTGTTAGGGGGAGATGGTCCCAACGTATCTTCATGTGATGTCAAGCCTGTGTGCATTGGCTAGTCTGCCCAAAAGATGCTTCTTGTGTCAGAATCCTCAGGGTGCCCTCTCCGCGGACCACGCTGTCCAGTCGAACTTCCTGTGATGATGGACATGTTCTATACCTGCCCTGCCCAGCACAGTGGCCCTAGGGCGATGGAGCCTTTGAAATGCCGTTAATGTGACAAGGGAGCTAAATGGTTACTTGAATTTCATTTTCATTCCTTTAAGTTTAAATAAGCAAGTGTGGCTCCCGGGGTTCAGTCCAATCTGGCCAGGCGTGTGGCAGCCCCCTGGGTTTCTGAACAGCTGTGTGCTGGAGGTCTTGAATGATCATGGCCTTTCAGGAGGGCCCCTGGGTAATGTAAATGGTTTGCACTTTACTATTAGCAAGGGCAGCAGTTCGAATCCACCAGCGGCTCTGAGGGAGGAAGATGAGGCCGTCTGCTCTCAGAAGGACTGACAGCCCCAGGCACCCCAGGGAGCTGTCCTACTCTGCTCTGTCTTTGCAGTGGATTCTTCTTCTTCTTTTTTTTTTTTTCAACGAACCTAAAGATGTGGAGGAAAGGCCTGGCGATAACCATCTGTTAAAAGGACAGCCAAGGAAGCACCATGGAGCACTTCTACTCTCGGATCCGGGAAGGCGCCCTCCTGGGTCGCACACAGAATCATCACTTGGCAGAACTGAATGGCAGCAGGTTATTGGTGCTTGGTTTCTTAAAGCCTCTCGGAAGTGAATCACCAGGTCTTTCTTCTGAGGGGCAGCAAGGGGGATTCAAACCACCAACCTTTTGGTTATTAGACGAGTGTTTCACCATCCAGGACACCCAGGGCCTCCACACACGTGCCTGGTGCCTACCTGATGGAGAAACACACCCGGAAATGTGATCGTTTGAAATCACCCTGTCCCAGCTGGAAGACCATCTCAAGGTTCATTTCTCCCCGCTTCTCGGGAACAGTTGATCGGGAGACACGGCCTTGGAGATTCTGCGTTGCTCTAGAATGATTGACGTAGGCGAGAGACTTCTCCTGGCCGCTCTCAGTGCGCAAGCGTGGCGCATCCCCAGCAGAGCCAGCCTGGCCCATTTATCCAGATGCTGCCTTCCTTTCTCAGTCCGTAAAAGTTTCAGAGTCAAGCAGCACCCTGAGCCCCGTCTCCAATCTCCACTCCCATGCCCTCCCAGCCGGGTGAGCTTGTGCTTGTGGTTTGAGATCTTTTCTAATTACACTAAGTCACACCGACAGGTTCTTGGATCAACTTATTCTAAATAAATACCAGGGAGCTTCAAAAAGCTCACGGTGTGCGTGTGTGTGTGTGTGTGTGTGTGTGTGTGTGTGTGTGTAAGCTCCATGATCTTTTCACCTAGTTTCCCATGAGGGTTTTGAAGGTCCCCTGTTCACTGGTTGGACCTGACACCCCCTTTCACAAGTGCTGAGGCATGTCCTTCGATGGAGGAGTTTGGGTTGGGGTCAGCTGCCAAGGGTTTGAATCCCATCTCTGTCACTTACTATTAGTGCAGCTTTGGGCAAGTCACCCCCACTGCCGAACGGAGGGAATGAAAGCCCACCTCCTACAGCTCGATACAATAAAGGAGAAAGCATGTTGGCTCGCACAAAGCATTTATTTACAGCTTGCCACAAAGCACGTGCTCGTGTAAGCAGGAGCAAATCTTTCTTCATTGCTTGACAAACTTCGAGCAAAGGTTTTCTACATTTTGTTTTGCCCCCTCCCCTTTGGAAATCCCCCAGGAGGCGCTCTTGAGTCTTCTTGCCTCGCTTTCCCCAGGGTGGCCCACTTCCCAGCCTTCCCTGCAGGCTTCACCTGGAGCCCCCCACTCGCTTCTCATCCGCTCGAAGGAGGACTTCTGCCGTGCCCGCTCTCCCCGGGTCTCCTGTCTTTGGCATTTAGGGGTGTGAATGCATGCCTACCTCCCTACTCTCGCATTCGGAGAGAAGAAGGGGCCATCTTTCCTCCTGATTCGGGCCCCCGGAGACCGCACTGTCTCCGTTTCTCTTTTCCTCCCAGTTCTTGACTTCCCTTGGGCAGTGGCCCAGGCTGCTGTGGGCTCCCGGCTGGGGAACCGACATTCTCAGTCTCCAGCTGATTCCCCGGAGGAACCAGAGCCTGAGGGAGAGCTGGGAAGGTGGAGACATTACAAACACAAATGCATTTTATTGGTAAGGCAACAGCATGATACAGGACAGAGGCAGAGGCCCCACAGGGCCAGGGCAACACGGGAGGTGGGGCAGGGGGCGGGAATCTGATTCACATTGAAATGAAGGCTGAGGTGACCCCCCCCCTTTTCTGATGGGCCAGCAGGGAAGGACAGAAGGGACCTAGGATCCAGGCTCGCTCTGTCTAGAACTCAGGGCTGCCCCCCAGGGATTGGCTTGGCCCCTCCATTCCGGTCACTGCCATCGAGTCAATTCTGACTCAGTGCCACCCTATGCATGGGTTCTGAGGCTGGGGTCAGCCACTAGGGGTGGGCAGTGGTGCTGAGCTCAGGGTGCTGTGTGAAGAGAGCCCTGGGCTAGAGTCCACAGCCAGTCCTGGTGTTACCTACCTCTCACAGTTACACGAGCCACTCACTCTTCGTGAAGAAGAGCCAGCTTCCCCGAACGAGGGGTTGAACGCTGTCAGCAATTTCCCAGCTTTCTCTCCTACTGAAAAGCAAGTTGGGCCCATGTGTCCTGCAGCTGGACTCACACAAGAAGGGGCTCTCCCTGTTTTGTGCCAATAACAAGAATGAACGTATAGATTGATCACCAGGTAAGTCCTCCCCGCTGTCAACATCCCTTGATCCGCGGGGTACTTGCGACCATGGAACCTGATTCTGAAAACACTCGCCGGCCCGTAGGGAGGGCGTTCTGCAAAACGCACTGTGCCGTCCAGGTGTCTCCCACCTGAAGCATACGGGGCAGCACGGGCTAAGGACTCCGTGATGCTTTCTGAGGCAGAGTCAGATTCCTCCCAGGAGCCTTAGGAGGTGCCTCCTCTAGAGGCTTGGGCGCCACACTCCCGCTATGTCCAGTGCTGACAGAGCAGGTACAGCTGGGGTCCCCAAGCTCCCATGACTCCTGGTGGAAGAGCCTCCTGCCACACAGGCCCCTCCCACCTACAGCTCACGCTCATCCCAAAGTGCAAGTGGAGCAAAGTGGCCAAGAGTTCCCACTTCCTGGGCTGGCACAGGAGTCACAAGGAAGGCGCCCTTCCCTGTCCTGCCTCATGGGCCCCCTGAGGCTTTTGGGAGGTGGAGTGAGGGGGAGAAGGGGACCCGCCCTACACTACCGCACCCCTAAATACTCTCTCGGACCAGCGTCCGAGGTCAACTCCCTCCCCTTCCCGGCCTTCCCTCCTGCAGTCTTAGGACTGCCGCGTCAGGAGCAGGACCTGGGGCACCGGGGCCTGCATGTCTTCATCACCCATCCTGCAAGGGGGAAAAGACACCCCCTCCCCACCCGGGACCCAGCTGCTAAGCAGAGCGGGCATGGTGTCTCCAGGCTCCAGGCTGGTCAGGAGGTGGGGTGGGGGGGCAATTCCATCACAGGGTGAGGCTCCACCACTGCAGGTGGTGGTGTCCGGGCCAGGGAGGCAGGTTCTCTCTGCTGGGGCAGGGGTGGGGTAGGGTGGGGTAAGGCACTGGTGGGGTGAAGGGTAAGGGCGGTGCTGGGTGCTTTCCTGCTTGGGGACAACTCAGGCCAGCCACAGGGATCGCTGGTGGTAGAGGGAGGGCTCCTGCCACACCAGCCCCTCAGGCTCCAGGTGGAAGAGTCGTGGCTCGGTGGCCACCATCCACCATCCACTACTTTTCCGTGAGGCCAGGTGTGGCCACTCTCCGCTGTCCAAGCCCTGCTTTCTTCCCTCCTAGGGCCTCAGGCTGAGTGGGGTTCTGGGCAGGTGGTCCCAGGAATGGAGGGAAAGAGGTCCCTCTGGGAGAAGGTGAAGCTACCACAGGGGCGCTGACGGGAGGGCAGGGGCACTGAAGAACCGGACAGGTATCTTGGGCTGTGGGGGTGGGGGGAGGGGACAGGTGTGACCTCAGTCACCTTGTTTTGGTCATCCTTGATGGTGAGTGTCCTTGACTGGCAGGTTGTTCTGGGACCCCACAGCAGGAGGGGGTGGGACTGGGGTGGGTAGGAGGAGCAAAGAGCCCCCCAGGGCTCTGGACAGTGGGAGGAGAAGGTACCGGTTGCTTGGTCCCTGAGGAATGGGCGCTTTCCTCCTGTCTGCCTGCTCCCTTAACATCAGTCGCCTCAGGTGTGTGGGGGCATCCCCGGGCGGGGTTCTGCCTTCTGCCCCGCTTGAGTTTCTGGGCCAAAGAGCAACTCCGCTGGACTGAGGTCTGCTGGGATGGGGTGACCCGGGGCCTGCAGGAGAGGGCGGCCTGGGGCTGAGGATGGGCCAGAGGAACAGGGCCTGGACAGGGGGTAGGGGACGGACTCCAGGGGGTGTGGGCAAGGCTGCTGGGCAGCCCGAGGCTCCCTGGGGAGGGCCCCAGAGGCCACCCTGGTCAGGAGATCTCGTTTCCGAACACCTCGAGCAGCAGGGGCGTGAGCTGCATGCTGTTCTCGGGCTGGAGGGACAGGCAGCGGTACTGCTTGGAGTGCTGCTCATTGAGGCTGCGCAGGTCGGCCAGCTTCTGGATCATCTTGGCGTAGAGCAGGTGGCTGCCCGGGGGCGGGTGGCGGCAGCGGATGTAGGTCTGCAGCGTGTTGGACAGGCGGTCCTGGATGGCTTCGATGAGCGCCGCGTCCTGCACCCCGGGCCGGTCTGCGGGCCCAAGGTGGAAGGGGCACGGGAGCTCAGACCCAGGGGCAGTCCCTCTCACGCTCCCCCAACACCCCTGCCTGCAGACCCTCAGCCCCCAGCCCTGTACCCTCCTAGGCCACCCCACCCACTTCCCGTACAGATGCCTAGCTGGGACACCCCTGCCCTGCCGGAAACCCCTCAGCGACTTCCCCCTGCACCCAGCGCTCCCTTCCCACCTCACCTGCCCCCTCATCCCGTGTGCCAGCTCTCCCGTCAGCGCCCACTGCCCAGTCCTCGCTGGCCTCCAGGCTTCCCCCCTGCCTAGCGCTCAGCTCTTGGCCTGGCCTGGCTCTCACAGCCCATTCTGGTGATTTTGGGGTTAGGAGTCGGCTCTGACTCACACGGATCCCACGTGACAGCGCAGAACTTCCCCAGAGTGGGGCTTGGGGCCGTCACCTTTACAGGGGTGGACGGTCGCCAGAGCTGCTGACTTAGGTTTGAACCTCCAACTTGAGGTTAGCAACTGAACACGTAACCATTGTGCTGCTAGAGCTCCCCCAGGGAGCAGCTTAAAGACCCTCCTGACCTGGCCCTCTCCCCAAGCCCCACACTGCATTCCGTGGATTGATAGTCTATCGCCCGGCCAGTCATGGGACCATGCACTTCCGGACGTTAGGAGTCTCGGCTCATTAGGAATGAGCCACTATTTGCTGCTTTCTCATTTTTCTCACTGCTGTCCAGGCGATGCTGATGCAGAGAGACCCTTTGGGACAGGGCAGGACTGTCCCTGTGGGCTTTTGAGACTGTGACTCTGGATGAGAGGAGAAAGCCTCCTCTTTCTTCCACAGAGCAGCTGGTGGATTTGAACAGCCGACCTTGCGGTGAGCAGCCAATGCATCACCACGACACTGTCAGGGCTCCTGATACAAGCTCCTTCTTAGCTTCCCAGGTGAGAGCCTGGGTCTTGCCTCTGCCTGGTACAGTGCCCGGCCCTCGGGAGGTTGCAGTGGGAGCAGTGGGCAAGGGAGGGCCTGTGTGAGTGCTGGCTGGCTCGCTGGGGGCTCCTGCTCATTCCTTCTCTGGGCAGACACCACGCACTTGTCCTCCACCCTGGACACAGTGCAGACTGCGGCAGGGCCGCTGGCCCTGGGCCTTACCACTAACAGACCACCTCTGCCTTCTCTCCTGCTTCCTGCCCGAACAGGCATACAGGGTCAAGGGTCCCAGGACCCTGGCTCCAAAGCCAGTCAACAACACCCATCCGATACCAGCAGGACTTTGCACTCCGCCCCTCGAAGGGAAAGTCCTATCCCCTTCACATGAGAGCAAAGGGTGCTGGGGATCAGAGGCACGCAGGACGGCCTGCGGCCCGGTGGGGGAGAGTCTGTAACACTGCGCGCAAAGCCGAGGGCAGCGAGGGAGGCCCTGCAACGGGGGTGTGCCAACCCAGCCGGCAGGCCCTTCCCGGGCTGCCCTTCCTTCTTCTCCTGTCTCCCTACAGATGGCCCCCTCCCCAGGCCCCCCAGAGCCTCGCTGTGAGGCGGCCTACCTGGGGAGACGATGCAGATGGCCATGAGCAAGACGTGCTCCTCCTCGTGCAGGTTCAGCTTCTTCAGCCCCACCTGGAACTTGAGGAGGGGCTCGATCAGCTCCAGGTTGTGTCCGGCTGTGCGAGAGAGAGGCCCGGCGTTGGGGGCAGAGCTGAGTCCCTGGCCCCACGCCGGCGAGCCGGGCGACGGGAGCCCGCGTCTGGGAGCTGGGCAGGGGCGCACCTTTGGTTACATCGTTGATTCGGTAGGTGTAGTCCTCGCTGCCGCAGGCCCAGGACATGTTGTCCATGGTGAAGGACTGGTTGGAGCGCAGCATGATGACCTCGATGGCACTGGACTTGAGCAGCACTATCTGGTCCTCTGAGGTGAGGTCCCTGTTGGAGGGAGCAGGCAAGGAAGGGGACCTTCAAGTCACACACCTCGGCCGGGGGGGTTCGGCAGGGGTGGACCCTCCAGGTGATTGGCCGGTGGGGCCTCCACTGAACACCTGGCAGCCTGGCCAGACAGCACAAAATCATCCTTTGAGGGAGAACAAGTTAAGGCTGGGGATCGCGACAGGCCAACAACGACGGCGAGCCACTTCCTGTGGCCTTGGAGCTCCGTCCAAGCCGCCGGAGTTAGGGAAAGGGAGGCAGACATTAAGGAAGCCCTGGTACTCGGTCATGAATCTGACAGTCCGCGCATAGCGAGGCTGGAGTCCTCTTCAACCAACTCCGACGTTTCCACGATTTCCTCTCGCTGGTCCTGTTCTGGAGCCTCCAGCTCCGCTAACAGCAGCACATCTTCTGGGCCCTGGGCCTCCCTCTCCACCTCTCCAGCACGGTCCTGCTACAGAGGGCCAGCCTCTCTTACGAGGAGCCTCCAGGCTGGCACCTTGGACTCCGTGGTTCTCTGGCCCCTCATCACTCTCTGGCTGGTGCTAGGGGGAACACGGTGCCTGTGGTCAGGACTCCTCGCTGGCTCTTCGGTTTCCCCAGGATCGAGCCTGTACGCCCTCGCTTGACTACACACTGTCTTTCCAGCCTCCTCTCCCATGTAAACTCCAGTCCAGCACCCACCGGGCTGCTTCATGTTCAGATGGCAACATGCCTCAGAGCGTGCGGCAGCTCCGGTACCCGACAACCTGCTCCCAGTGCTCTATCTCTCCCTGTGTGGTCTCCATGGAGCCCCCCTCCCCCAGCCCTCCTGAGCAGAACATTGGCCAGTCCTTTAGAGCTCACTGCCTACTGCCTGCATGCTGCCCTTGCCCTTCAGCTTTGTGGGGGCTTTGTTTCTGCTTCTGACCACCACCCAGTCAACCCCTGGCTCACGGTGTTCCCCCAGGCCCATGCGCATCCAGCTGACGACAGGTTCCACGCTCATCGGGGCTGGTGGCAGAGAGAACCTCTGTCACTGTGGGGTCTGTGCCAGCTGCCTTTCAGAAGTAGGTGGCCAGCCACCTTTCTTCCCGAGTCTTCTTGGTCGGGAGACTCGGCGTCATCGCCCCACACAAGCCTTCACCAGCAGATGGGCAGAGGCTGTATATGCACGGAGTACCCTGGCCAGGATTGAACCCATACCACCCACCGTGTGGAAGGTGAGGTCTCAACCCCTGAGCCACCACGGGCCTCATCAATGCCTACTTCTTGACGACCTTGGCCCAGCCCACAAGCGAGTCACTGGGCTCTGGGCACAGGGAGTCGAACAAGCCAGAGGTGTTAGATTGAGTAATGGGGCCAAGGGCTCATCCCACACTTGTGAATCACGAGCTGGGCTTGTCTGAACGAGGGCTAGGACAAAGCAGAGCCGTCACGCTGCCACCGAAGTTCCTGCCTTTCTCTTTCTGACCCGACGTTTCCTCTTGTATCCCCTTAGGCAGACGGCCCTCCTCTCTGGCTGGACCTCACACTCACTGCCCGCAAGCCCATGTAGATGCACAGAGGGCATGGAGAGGGCATGGAGAACTGCCCCTGTGGGTTTCTGAGACTGTAACTCTGTATGGGAATGGAGAGCCCCGTCTTTCCCCCACAGAGCGCGCTGCTGCTGGTGTTGAACTGCTGACCTTGCGGTTAGCAGCCCAACGCATAACCACTATGCCACACCACCAGGGCTCCTCGTGGCTGCCCGAGGACGTGTTAAAAAAGACTACTAATAAAGATGGGATGGGAGCAGCATGCACTGGTGAGAGTTCTGTCGTGACCGGGGCAGGTGGTGGGCAAAGGGAAGAATCCGCCAGCTGCTGCAGAGGAGAGAGACGGGGCTTCCTGCAAAGACGGACCACCTCGGAAACCCACAAGGGCAGCTCTACCGGGTCCTGTAAGGTTGCTGTGAGTCAGCACAGGCCTGATGGCGGAGAGTTTGGTTTGCGGTTCACAACACAGCG